AAAAAAAAAAAAAAAAAGAAAAAAACAAATAATAATAATAATAATGGCATTAATAAGTAATAAAATCGAGAAATCCATGCTACTCGCGATAGCCGTGATTGTGGCGGCGACGGTGGCCGCCAACGGGCCTCGAGCCGAGGCAGCCATCGGCTGCGGCTCAGTGGTCTCTTACCTGCAGTCGTGCGTGCCCTACATAACCAACACGGGCCCTATTGGCAGCTGTTGCAGTGGGGTCAACGGCCTGTACGTGGCCGCCAAGACTAAGGAAGATCGACAGAGCGTGTGCGTGTGCCTGAAGACGGTGGTTGGCTCGTATTCTGGGCTCGACCTTGGCAAGGTCGAGGGACTTCCCGCTACGTGTGGCATCGACATTCCATATAAGATTAGCCCTTCTACCGATTGTGCCAAGTATGTATAATCAATTAATAACGTATTAATCAGAAACGTGTCACATTTTGTACATATATAACTTTTTTTAAGTTGACCCAAGACCTTATATATTGAAGTGTTAATTCAATTTTGCAGGGTGAATTGAGGTTATAATTAAAATGTGACCACCGATCGAGCTTATGGAAGAAAGCGTTATATTGATGGATGGATGGAGGGTTTATTTAGCAACTTGCCTGAATAATATATATGTATATGCACTAATAATAATGAAAATAAGTCGTGGCAAGTTAAGTTGTTCAAATAATTAATATCAATCAATCTGAATGTAATGAACCAACTTATATCGTTTACTCGTATATGAGAAAAGCGAAGCAACTTAATTAATTATGCACGTACGTAGTAATCACGTTGCAGGTACTATTTGTTTTTTTTATTTTTCCACGGAAATTACTGAACTTCTTACAATAATTATTAAAAGAAAAAGAAAATTAACTTGAAATTCCGAAAGAGGTTAAATCGAGGTCAGCCTATCTATTTCTACAAAATAGTGAACATCCTTTTGTACAATGTGACTATCAAAAACCGTTACATGATGATCTAATAGTTACAAATCTCGACAAAATAGTTCTTTAACGGTTATAAATCCCGACAGAATGGTTTCCGTAACTATTGCATTTCCCTTTAAAATATGCTGTTTATTTTACTTTTTCCGTGCATTGCTAAATTCGTGTTTTTTATTCATCTCAAGAGGCTAAGGCCCATATTTCTTTATATAAGCTGGATCGACTATCAGTACTTAATTTGTGGGGTAGGCCTCTTCAACAGGCTTACAATTTCAGGCCCACAGGTGTTCATAATTGGTTGGATCAAGAAATGTGAAATTTACGCTTTGGTTAACCTATTAAAAATCACAACATTATTAAAGTAAAAATAACATATGATTTTTCTATTACGTACTCAATTGAACAACGCTAACACATCGTCCTAGGAATTAGGAAAACTATGAATTTAGTAATTACAAGACAAAAGAAATCTTAAATCCAACTTTACATAAATTTAAGGCCACATGACCAAATTAGCCTTAAAATTTAATTTAAAAAAGCAAAAATCCAAATAAACAATATTTATATGAATTTACAGCTCATAATCCCGGAGTAGGCTTAAATTGGACTCAATAATCATGTAATTAACATCCAAAATTGAGATCAAGCATAAATGAACTCAACATTGTATTATTTTGAAATTTAAACGTAAATTAAATTAAAAACCAAAAAAAAAAAATCATACCACATAAGTCATGCATAATAAGGTTATCACAATTGAGTGAAAATCCTTATGGAACCTATATGAATAATTCAATGTGTATAAATCCAATCTTTAATTAGGTAAAGCCTTGTTGTCCAAATTAGATATAATCTTAATTACCGAATCCAAATTAAGTTCACAAAACATATATATATATAATTATAAACAAGTTAAAATATTCAGATTTAATTTGAACTTAGCTAGAAACCAATTTTATAAGTTTGGGCTGAAAAGCCAAATCTCAATCTAAGCTCAAACTTGCTGCTGCTCACAATTTGGATATTTTCGTAATTCATCATCCTTGCGCGTCGCGCCACCCCCCTAACCCTAAAGCTAGCTAGCCATGGTAAGGCAGCAATAGTAGTACTTATGAATTTTATATAGTATTTTAAAATGCGATCACATACTCTTCAATGTACATTAATCAAGATTTTTAATTATAGATTCGGCTAGCTCGGCAGAAATTATTTATTTCAATCAGTAGTACGTAGTAGTATTGTACATTACAATTAATTTCAATATGGTACGTACGTATTAATTAATTACAGCCGACCATATATCTAATTTTTGTTTTGGTACATATACACACACATATATATATATATATATATATATAAGCCCTTGCACAATTTCAACTAATCAAATAATTCAACACTACCAAATATACATTTAAACACTACAAGAAAAATATATATTATTAATTAATCCATTCCAATAATGGGGCGAGTTGTGGCGTTAGTGATGATTGTGATGTGGCTGATGACGGCGTTCCTTGCGGAGGGGCTGAGCTGCGGGCAGGTGGTGCACACCCTTCTGCCTTGCCGGGATTACCTCAAGTCTGGCGGCAACGTCGTGCCCCAAAAATGCTGCGATGGGGCAAGGTCTTTGAACAACATGGCCAGAACGACACCCGACCGGCAGCAGGCTTGCCGGTGCATGAAGACGGCCGCCAAGGCTTACAAAGCCCAGCAAAAGTACGCAGCGGCCGTGCCCGGAAAGTGTGGCGTCAAACTCGGTTACGCTGTCAACTTCAATATTGACTGCAACAAGTATATATATGTTGACCAGATATAAAACCGACACATATAAATTTATTTTTGTTGATAATTAAGTACTATTTTTTTTCAGTTTTTATTTATTAAAAAAATATTTATTTCATTTATATATACGTTAACATTATGGACATCAAAAAGGTTGCAAATTGATGATTAATTTGATATATAACATATGAAAAAGTTGATGATTTTTAAATATACTCCCTCCGTTTCAAATTATTAGTCGTTTTGACTTTTTTGATTCATCTATTTTGCTATGTATCTAGACATATTATTATCTAAATACATAGCAAAGTGGATGTACCGAAAAAGTCAAAACGACTAATAATTTGAAACGGAGGGAGTAGTATTTATCATTTATTTTAGCTTATCATTTTATAATTTTAAGAGTTGTCACATATTAACGTACGTAAATTACCCCAATAGATATATAAAATTAGAAAGTACGATGAAATCGACAAATAAATATATATAAAACACCACAAACTTAATTAGCTAGGCTTGATGAAAATCTCTTGATTAATTTATAGAGATGCTATGGTCCTTTAAGAAACTATTATGTCGGAGTTTGTAACCGTTAGATCAACTATCTCCGACGATTACATGAAGATCTAACAATTATAAATCCCGACGGAATTGCTGCGTAACAAGACCGTAGCATTTCCCAATTTATATACGTGGGGATGATTTTTTTATTTTTATTTTTAGTTTGGAATTTTGAATCTTTTATTTGACTATCGACAATAATAATCTTTCAATTTTTTCCTATTCATTTGCAGGGTCCGTTGAGGTCGTCCACTGAGACCAAGACGTGAGGCATTTTACAATAATTATACAATTGTAATAAATTAAAGGCTGATATATATATATATATATATCATATATTGTAATAAATAATTAGAATCAAGGATTATTAGCAGTCATAGCCATATAGGCCACAATTTTATATAAAGGAATTGAAATAAAGCGTTCTCATCCATTGGTTGTTATGCAATATTAGCCTCTCAATATTTTTTAATATAACTAATATATATTGTTAGACAAAACTTTGACATAAAGCTAGCTGAAAATTAATTAATTAAATAAAGAGAGATCCAATCCAATCCAATATATATTAAGTGGATTCGGAAATCAGAAGGTCTCTGTACCAAAAAAAAAAAGAGTAAGGCATCGATAAATAAATTAAGCCTATTTTATTCTCACGTCATCTCTACAGAAGAAAATTATCATCACATTTCTTGACATTGATCAATCATAAAACTAAAACAAAAAAATGGTCTAATATAATAATAATATAACTAACTACCTAAGAACGTGTTTAATTTTAATGGAATCTCCTATTCTTTTTAACTTTTTTTTTTTTCTCTTTCCAATTTTGTAAGTTTTAAAATATCATCTATCATCAAGAGTGTCATCAATATTTAAGCTCTATTAACAATCAAATTAATTAACATTTTAAAAAAGACATATATAGATATACAAAAATTGGTATAGATGATGTGATGCATTTTTAGAAAATGGTACGTTTTTCAATCAATATATTGAAAAACAGCTCAGTTAATTATGTGTCTTCATTAAGCTTCAAACAGCCGCGCCTGCCTACGGGTTTATGCTCATTGTGTGTCGTGTGTTCTTCAAATGAGTAAAACTCTCTCAAGTCCACCAATTTTTTTAATTTATATATATATATATATTTATAAATTTCTGCTACTTAGAAAAATAGTGGTGATAGGATTGTTGGGATTATTGTGCTCTTGTGCGTGCATGTGTACTGTGCATGCTAGTTTTATATTGAGCCATTTTATTTCTTTATGTTTGTTTTTTTTATTGTTCTCTTTAAGTCGCCAAACACTTACAAAGGCGCACTTCTCTTTTCCAGCTATTTTAGTTTCATGCCACTTAGTTGACGTGGCAACCATGTAATGGTCATTATGGGACCTTAAGCTCGATTATATAATTGAGCTCCTTCTTCATTTTGTACTAAGAACGATTTGAGTGAATACAGAAAATTTCCCCAAAATAATTCTTAAGCTCTAAGCTTCACATGGTATCCAGAGCAGGTCATTAATGGCGCGCGACGGACGAGAGATGACGACCAACAGATATGCACGAGATTCAGATCCACTTTTACTTCATGGCTCCGATCATCCGGGAATGGTATTGGTAAGTAATCTACTCACCGGGTCTAATTACCTCCATTGGAGTCGCGCAATGAGGCTAGCGCTTGGAGCAAAATCGAAGCTAGGTTTTGTGTACGGGACAGTCAAAGTTCCAGATCTGGATTCTGAGGACTACGAACAATACCAAAAGGTGGAATTTATGGTGATGTCATGGATGCTGAACTCGATCTCAAAAGAAATCGTCGAAGCATTCATGTGTGTGAAGAATGCCAAGCAGTTGTGGGATGAACTGGCAGAGAGATATGGAGAAAGCAATGGACCACTTAAGTATCAACTGAAGAAGGAAATCTCAAACTTTGCTCAAGGTAATCTTACTGTTACCTCCTATTACACGAAGTTGAAGTGTCTTTGGGACGATTATGCCTGCCTGGTAGCTCTTCCAGAATGTAACTGTGGTGCTGAAAAGGCTTATAGTGATAATGATTCAGAGAGTAAGCTCATGGAGTTCTTAATGGGTCTGAATGATGTCTTTGAACCAGTGAAGAACCAAATATTACTTATGGAGCCTTTACCTACCATTAATAGAGCTTATTCCATGATATTGAAGGTTGAGAAACAGAAATTTATTCATAACTCAGGATCAGATGGAATGGATAGTTCAGTCATGATGGTTAAAGGAGGTTATGGAAGAGGAGGGACAAATATGGTAAACTTTGGTAGAGGAACAGGAAACCTTGGGAGATATGCTGCTGGTAGGGGATCTTTTGGACAAAACAACAATAATCAAGGAAGAGGAAGGGGACAGCCTAGGCTTTCTAGGGAAGAAAGAGCTAAATTGTTCTGTGAGCACTGTGGTTACAATGGCCATGAAATGCAAGGATGCTTTAAACTTAATGGGTATCCTGATTGGTATAAAGAACTGAAAAACCAAAGGTTTGGCCAAGTAGCAAATATGGTGGATGATCAAAGTGTTAGCAACAAGTCAAGTGAAACTGATAGTGACAAACAGCAAACTCTTGGCCCTCTTGGAGACATAAGCTCTCTGCTGCAGAAAGAAATTGCAAAATACATGGCTGGTCAGCAGGCAACAGATTCATCATCCTATTCACACCACAGTGACTTTTCAGGTAACATCAATCATTTTGGGTTTTCATTGCTGGAAAATATAGAAGAAACTAGCTGGATTGTTGACAGTGGAGCCAGTAGACACATTTGCTGCAATCTGGATTTGGTGAAAAGCTACAATGCAATGACCATACCTATTACAGTCAACTTGCCTAATGGAGCCAAGATTAAGGTGAAAAGGGTTGGTGATGTCAAGTTAAATGAAGATATTGTTTTGAGAAATGTTCTGATAGTACCAGAATTTAAATACAATTTGCTGTCTATTGGTCAACTTACTGAGGAGAGGAAAATAACTTGCACCTTCAATGAACAAGGGTGTTGGCTACAGGCCCCAGAAACCAAAAGACCACTTGCACAAGGGATAATTCATGGTGGTCTGTACATCATTAAGGGAAAACACTGCTTGGTAAATCAAGTCAAAGAGGGAAACAAAGAAATTCAGGAATTGGAACTTTGGCATAAGAGGCTGGGACACAGCTCAACATCTAGTTTGAAACACATTGACTTTCTGGAAAATCTTTGCAAAGGTCAAGAAATCAAGCCATGTGACATATGTCATAGAGCAAAACAAAGCAGGTTGCCCTTCTCTCTCAGTGCAACTACAACAGCAAGCATGTTTGATCTCCTACATATTGATGTTTGGGGGCCTTGTCATGATGACTCCATTACTAATGTGTCCTACATGTTGACTATAGTGGATGATAAAACAAGAGGAACATGGATATATCTTATGAATATAAATCTGAGACATACATGAATTTGAAGCATTTCCTTGAATTAGTGAAAGTTCAGTTTGGGAAGCTTGTGAAGCAGATCAGGACTGACAATGGATCAGAATTTTTGGGACAAGACACACAATGCTTATTCAAGGACAGAGGGATAATACATCAAAGGACATGTCCCTATACACCCCAACAGAATGGCATAGTTGAAAGAAGGCACAGAACAATTCTGGACATTGGCAGGTCTTTGTTGTTTCAGGCAAACCTAGACAAGAAATTCTGGCCATACACTTTGTTAAGTGCAGTTCAAATTCTCAACTCCTTACCAAGTGAAATCCTAGGATGGAAGACACCATATGAATTGCTTTATGGCAGACAGCAAGACTATGCGAAGTTCAAGGTTTTTGGTTGCTTGGCTTATGCTTGCAGACTTGATCCTAGAAGAAGGAAGTTTGATGATAGAGCACAAGCTTGTATCTACCTGGGCAATGTGGGAGGAGTGAAGGGGTACAGGTTGTACAGTCTAAAGGAGGAAACTGTGTTCATCTCAAGAGATGTGACATTCTATGAAGAGATTTTTCCATTCTCTAAGGGGCTCACAGAGGTTGTTCCCCCAGATGCCTTACCACATACCTATGAAGATGATGAGGAAGACAGATCTGGTAATGAGGAGCCACCTCCAACTGCACTTCCCACTTCTGTATTACAAGACATGGGGATGAAAAGGTTGAGAAAACCTCCTGCTTGGCTACAGGACTATGTAACCCATATCAACCATGATGAGACTTCTCAGAAGGAGCATGCCCTCTTTATGACAGAAATACAAAAGACAGCTAGTGAACCATTGTTTTATGGCCAGGCAGCAAAGGATCCTCAATGGGTGATGGCTATGCAAAGGGAATTGGATGCTCTTGAATTGAATCAAACTTGGAAACTAACAAGTCTTCCCCCAGGAAAAAAAGCCATTGGTTCAAAATGGGTGTACAAGATTAAAAGGAATCCTGATGGTTCCATTGACAAATACAAGGCAAGGTTGGTAGCAAAGGGGTACCTACAAATTGAGGGTGTTGATTTCAGAGAGAGCTTTTCACCTGTGGCTAAGTTAGTCACTGTGAGGTTTTTGATTGCTTTGGCTGTGCAAAATGGATGGAACCTGCATCACATTGATATAAACAATGCCTTTCTACATGGTTTTCTTGATGAGGAAGTATACATGTCACCTCCACAAGGTTACCACAAAGCTAAGAAAGGAGAAGTATGTCTTTTACAAAGAAGCCTTTATGGTTTGAAGCAGGCCTCTAGGCAATGGAACTTGGAATTTTCAGACAAACTTCTTGCATATGGCTTTCAACAGTCTAGTTTTGATCACTGCCTTTTTGTGAAAGATTCTCCTCAAGGTTTTCTGGCTCTCCTTATCTATGTGGATGATGTTCTTATCACAGGATCTTCTTCTGCTCATATTCAGCATCTCAAGTCTTATCTGGACAAATTATTCACCATCAAAGATCTTGGTCTTGCTAAATATTTCCTTGGATTAGAAATTGTGCAGGTTACTCAGGGTCTTCACCTCAGTCAAAGAAAGTACATACTTGACATGGTGAAAGATCTTGGACTCACTGAGTGTAAAGCTACTGTTACACCATTTCCTCAAGGTCTTAATCTCTCCACACATCAGGGTTCACTCTTGCCTGATCCAGAACCCTACAGAAGGCTTATTGGCAGGCTTCTCTACTTGAATTTGTCCATTCCTGATGCTTCTTTTGCAATCCAGCAACTCAGTCAATATATTAAAGCTCCCTTGGAAGGTCATTGGTCAGCAGCT